AAAAATGATACCACTACTATATTGCTACTATAATGCTACTACATTGCTACTACATTGTTAAAAAATGATCACTTTCAGTAAAGATAATAGTTAGACATATACATACTTTACTACCACTAGTGCATCACATATAGATCAAGCCTGGGTTTCGAGATATCTTGCTCCCAAAGTAATATGGTATGAGGTACAAGAAATTGATACCATTCCAACAAATCACTGAGCTGTCTTAATAAAACTTGATTATTTTGAATTCAAACACATCAAACCTATCTTTAAATTTGATCTCAACAAAACTCCAAAAGAAGATATTCAAGAATTTACCAAAGAGTTAGATCACTGGGCCAGCCTGTTGTCTTCATCTGACTGGGATAACTTTCATAACATCTGCTTTAACATCCTCAATAAACACATCAAAAAATCCAAAGTCAATTTTACATGAAATAATTACTGTACCAATGCAGAAAAAAAATTTAAAAAACAAATTAAAAAAATTAACAAAGTTATGATATTACTTAAAAATGGACATTTATTTTCATTCTTTCAAGATTAGGAGTTATCAGTCCTCTATAAAATCTCAAACAACAGTCCTAATATCTCGATCAAAGGCCTTTAGAAACTAGAGAAACTTTTAATCAAGGAAGTTTTACTCCAAGTCCAACAAGAATTAATCAAGTAATTTCATATAAATTTGAAAAACATGGTAGAAAATTTTTATAGCAAATCCAAGAGCTGCATCAAAAAAGCACTTGGTATAATTAAACCAAAAATTGACCTTCTCAAGTTATACAACTTCAATAATCAGCTACACGATGATCCTGACCTTATTCAAGAAACCATTAACAAGTACTTCAAGAACATTCTTAGATTTCGAAACTTCAATATTGTAGACTTTTCAGAATGGGAAGAAATTTATTCCCCTAAGACAATCTATCAAGAAATATCCGTACAAGGAACCTTGATCCCGACGCCGCTCCAGGTAATTGATTCCAAAGACGAGACGTTGCTATTGGGAAATGACTGGTTCGAAAAGGTGAAAGCCAGAATCTACTACGATCAACAGAAACTTGTAATAAGATACGATGGAAAGAAAATCAAAATTCCCATCACGAACGATAAAGCAAAAAAAGTGCCAAGTACTGAAACTGATAATGAGGAATCGACTGATGAGGATGATACAGAGAAGATATTTGATGAGATCGCATACGAAAAAGAAGAAGTAGAAGAAAAGGAAGGATACTATACGGAGGAATCGCGTAGTGACTCTGATCCCGATGATGAAGTACAATCTGAGGAACCAGGTCCCGCAGCATACTTAGCCCAAATAGATGAGCCTGCCGTAATAATTAGGAAAGCGAGAGAAAGTATGAATGATGACGAACAAGAAAACGATGATGACGATGAGGATGTGTTCGTGGAAGCGATGGAAGAATTACCCGCAGAAGAAGGCGATGATGCGATGGTAAGAGAAGAACTACCGACGAAGAGTAGAGAAGAAATGGTAATAGAAGAAGAAGTGAGCACAATGACGATGAATGAAGAATTGACCGAAGATCAAGTACAACAAGGAAAAGACGTACTGATGAAAGAACGTGATGCATTCGCACAGAGTGTACAAGAGCTGGGACGTACCGACATAGTGCGACACAGTATCGACACCGGAGAGGCTAAACCGATTAAGCAAAATGCATATAGAGCGGCACCTGACATAAAAGAATTCATTAAAAAAGAAATCTCGCAGCTTATAGAAAGGAATTTAATCCGGGAATCAAAAAGCCCGTGGACGTCGCCAATCGTGGTCGTACCGAAGAAAGG